CCAAGACTGTGGGTCAGAGGCAGAGTCCCAGTTGATTCAGAAATCTACATGTTCCTTCTTGCTGCATTAGATTTCCTCGTCAGTAGGCCCCTGAAACTATTTTCCCTTACTTTATATTGAATTCAAAGCTCTGGGATTGTCCTGGCAAAAAGTTTTTTTGGCCTTTCTGTGCTTCCTCCGAATTTAGGGTCCATCTCAAGAGCAAATTAGATGCATTAGACACTAATAACTCTTCTGGTCTTCAGTCATTAGTGTCTAATGCATCTAATCTATTCTTGAGATGGTATCTAAATTCAGGTGACATATGTTCAAAATCATGTTTTGACTCTCATGGACTTGTCTTAATTTCAGCCTGAATTTACATAGGAACAATTAGTGGTGAAAGGAGCTCTGGTAGAGTAGTTGTGACGAATCGAGGTGCGAACCCCAAGGTCAGCAGTTCAAAATTACCAGCTGTTCCACAGGAAAAAGATGAGGCATTCTGCTTCCATAAAGATTTACAGCCTCGGAAACCCTGTGCAGGGTGGCTATGAGTCAGAACCAACTCCACGGCACACAGCCACCACCAATTGGTGGTGACGCTGTCAATTTGATTCCTATGTGTTCCATCTTGTGAGGTCCGTGTGTATAATCACTTTTTGCATTGTTTTAAAAAGGTGTTTGCAATGAATAAGTCATTAGTCTTGAAAAATTCTACTATGAGATCTCCAGCATCAGTTCTATCACTAAGCCATATTTTGCAACTATTGATCCTTCCTCTTTGTTTCCAACCTTTGGATTGCAATTAGCAGCATTTATTCATACACCTTGATTGCACATTTGATCAATTTCAGACTGAAGAATGTGGTAGAATTCTTCAATTTTATCTTCACTGGTTTTAGTGACCGAAGCATAAATTTGAGTAACAGTTGTATTATATTCATATGTCTACAAGGATAATGTAAGTGTATGGATATTATCCTATCACAGACAGAACTCTACTTCAAGACAGAACTTGAAAAGTTCTTTTTGACAATGAATGAAATGCTATTCCTTTTCAATTTTTCATTTCTGGAATAGTTAACTGTATGATGGTTAGATTCAAAATAACCAGTACCAGTCCAATTCAGCTCACTAAGGCCTAGAATATTAATGTTCAGGTTTCATTTCATTTTTACAACTTCTAATTTTCTTAGATTCATACTTCATACATTTTATGTTCTGTTGATTAATGGATGTTTGCTTCTATTTCTCATTTTGTGCCCCATCAGCAAATTAAGTCCTGAAAGCTTTCCTCCATTTGCATCATCAGGGTCAACTCAAGTTTGAGGAGACAGCTCTTCGCCAGTCATATTTTGAGTGCCTTCTAACCCGAGGGGCTTATCTTCCGGCACCGTATCTAAAAACACCCCCATGCTATTTACAATATTCTTATCTTCTGGCAATATGTCTGGCAGTGTTCTGCTATTATTCATAAGGTTTTCAGTGGCTAAACATTTAGCAGTAGTCTGTAGAAACGCCTTCCTAGTCTGTCTTAGTCCATAGCTCCCCTGAAATCTGTCCACCGTGGGTGACCCAGGTGGTATTTTAAATAACAACAGCATAGCTACCAGCCACCACAGTATGACAAATAGATAATTAGGTAGATAGATTTGTTGTTGTTGTTAAATGTCCTTGAGTTGGTTCTGACTCATAGTGAACCTGTATGGGTTTTCTGAGGAGCAGCTGGTGGGTTTGAACTGCTGACCTTGTGGATCGCAATCCAGTGCTTATCCTACAGTACCACACCAGGAGTCTGGATAGATAGGTAGATAGATAGGTAGATAGGTAGATAGATAGATAGATAGATAGATAGATAGATAGATAGATAGAT